ACTTTACCCATAACTTTTATTGTTGTTTTGAAGTTTGAGATAATTTGTAACTAGATTTTCCAGATTTTATCCAAGAAGTTTTACCTCCTTCAGGTTTCTACCATTGGATGACAGAAGGTAACAAATATTTAATAACAGTGCAGGAATGAATGAATGAATGAAACTATTGAACATTTATTATTATGTGCTAAATCCTAGGACATATATATATGTGTGTGTGTGTGTGTGTGTGTGTGTGTGTACACATATATGTACATATATGTGTGTATACATACATGTGTGTTTTCATATATATATATATATATTATATATATATATATATATATATATATATATATATATATATATATATATATATCTCCTTCTTCTCAAGGAACTCACATTCTAGTAATTGAGACAACATATGTGGGTGGATTCAGCTTCAGGGCAGATGGAAAGGCCCAGTGGTCCTTTTGGTACCATGGCAAAGTCAATAGTGATACATCTTTAGTGTCATTTCCATCAATAAAACTATAACCATTTCTTCTACTGCACCATTTGGCAGAGAAAAGAAAACTTTCTTTTCTGAATCTTGATTACGTATGGCCACATGGAACCCTCAGAAATGTGTAGTAATAATAATAACAACAAAAAGTTGAGATGCGTATCCATTATATAATGGACAGAAAGCCACTATAGAGTCAAGAAGACCTGAGCTCGTATCCTATCTGTGACACTGTGTGCTCCTGGGTAAATCACTTTGACCTCCTAGTGACCCAGGCCTTTCTCTATAACCCCAAGTTGCAAAGTAGTTGGTGATTTGTATTGGTAGAATGGATCATCTCACCAGGAATTCCCTACATCAGTGAAATCATAGATCTAGCCAACAACAATAAAAATGAAACAACAACGCATAGCATTTTAAAATTCTTAAATCACTTGACATATGTCATTTTACGTATCGTCACAACAATTTTGTGAGTCAGGCAATGCAAGTATGATGATTTCAGTTTTACCAAAGGTGAGAAAGTAAATCGTCAATGACCATACAGATAGCAAATAAGAAAGGAAGAGCTCTAATGCCTAGTGATCTTTCCACAATACCACACAGCTCCCAGTGTATCATGTATAGATATCCAAAGTCAAACTCTGGAAACTTCTTGTTGCATTAAAAAAAAGAGAGAGTATCTTATTGTAAACAAAATTAAACAATGCTAAACAATTAAGAATAGCAAGTAGATGGAGTTTGCAAAAATAAGGAACATATGTACAAGTATACATACTCACATATACATATATTTGTGTATGTATGTATTTGGCTAATATTATTATTTCAGTAATGGAATCTTCCCCTTCTCAACCTATTCAGTAAAGGATATTTGTTTGTTTGTGTTTTCTCCTTCTCATCCTCTCAAACTTCAATTGTTTTTCTCCTGACAGAATTGTGACAAGCTTCATACTGTGAACTGTGCTCACTAATGCCATGATGCTTTTCACTTCATTAAAAGGTCATTAAATAAATCAGAGGGATTCTTTTTTTTTTTTATAAAAGCCAATGTATTCTGTACAAGAAAACCAGATAATTAATTCTTTTGTCCCATGTAGTTTCACTTATGATTTCCTGAATTACAGGACCAGAAAACCAGACTTGAATAAAGCTCACTGGGATTCAAATGGAGCTACTTGACACATGCCTTAAATCCAAATCACTCTGACTCTCACTGATTGGCCAACAATAGGTCCAGCAAGGGGGCAGAGCCAAGATGGTAGTGTAAAAGTAGTGACTTGCTTGAGCTCTACCCCAAACCCTTCCAAATACTTGTAAAAAAATGGCTCTAAACAAATTCTAGAGCAGCAGAACCCACAGAAAGACAGAGTGAAACCAATTTCTAGCCCAAGACAAACTAGATGGTTGATTGGAAAGGTCTGTTGCATCAGAGTGGGAAAGAAGTATAAAAACCAGGCCTCAGTGAACCTGGAGCAGGCCTCAGGGGATTGAATCAAGGGGAGCTGTGGCAGTTTCCAGACTTCTAAACCCATAAACACCAAAGACAACTTAGAAGGTCAGTAGGAAAGGTCTGTCAGACCTTGGTGAGAGAGGAGCTCAGTCTGGCCCCAGTCCTGTCATAGCCCTAGGGCAGGGGCTGCTTCCATAGCTCTTGGCCCATGGACTGAGGAGGGATCGAATGGCTGATCACAGCGGGATTGCAGGGATCTCTTTGCTGGTGCTGAAGCAGAATTCTCTTGCTTTGCCCGTGCTTGGATTTGAGATTCCCAATGGAAAACTCTTCAGAAAATTATAGCCTAATTCTAGAGTTTCCAGGTCAAGGAGAAAATATTGCAAGCAGCCAGAAAGAAACAATTCAAGCATTGTGGAAACACAATCAGGATAACACAAGATAAGCAGCTTCTGTAATAAGGGATCAAAGGGCTTAGAATATGATATTCCAGAGGTCAAAGGAACTAAGATTGCAACCAAGAATCGCCAGCAAAACTGAGTATTGTCCTTCAGGGGGAAAAAGGATATTCAGTGAAATAGAGGACTTTCAAGCATTCTTGATGAAATAGCTGAATAGAAAATTTGACTTTCAAATACAAGACTCAAGAGGTTCTCTTCCTTCATTTGAATTTTGAAGAAGCAGCCCTATTTTAATGGAATAAACAATGAATTTAGAGTCAGAAGACCTATGTTTGTTTTCAAAAGAAAAAAATCAGTTTTCAGTAGTCATGTGAAAATCCAAATTTTAAAATCTGCCGAGATTATTTACTTTGCAAAGAGATGTATTTGTTCAACAAATATTTCTTGGGTATCTATTACATGCTAGTTGCTATGAGGGATATGAAAGCAATTAAGACAAAGCTTATGTTTTCATGATGGTGACAAGTTAGTAGAAATACCAGAGCATCCCTTTGTACATCAGAGTCCATTAATATCCTCAGGTAGTTGCTTATAAGACATCAACTACTTAAGTACCAAGAGTGAATGGAGGGGGCTGATAAATTTAAAGCTAACATACAGAGTTATCTGTCTGGTGATTTGAAATGAAGACAAAAAGTATCATGAATTTAGAAAGATCCAATTTGCATAGGTTTTCAAGAATATGCCTATTGTATAAAGTTCAAGGTGTTTTTTACTAACTTTATGTGCTTGTCTTACACTTGGGAACACATATAAGTGCAAGAAGAATACATATACTCATGATGAAAATATGAAGGCAAAAATAAAATTTCACCACTCTGTACTACCTCTCTGTATGAATAACATACAGTATCCTAATATAATAATCATCATACAGGAGACACTGTAATAATTATTGAAATAGAACTGAACTGAGGAAGCCAGGTGGCCCAGTGCATAGACCACCAGTCCTAGAATCAGGAAGACCTGAGTTCAAGTTCAGCTTTAGCTGTATGACCCTAGGTAAATCACTTAATCTCAATTTTCTCACCTGTAAAAGATAATAGTAGCACCTAACTCATGGGGTTGTTATGACAATCAAATGAGATATTTATAAAGCATCAGCATAGTGCCTGGCGTTGTAAACTCTTAATAAATACTCCTTCCTTCCTTTGTGATATTCTAAGCATCTCATTTTCAAAAACCACGTCAACTTGAACAGGACAGGTAAAGGCCAGGAGCAAAGCCCTATAAGAGACCATGAAAGTTTAGTGTGTTGCATCAAAACTTAGTTCTGTTTTGAATTTCTTTATTCACTTTATCCTTGAATGAGAAATTTATAAACTGCATCAAACTTTACTCTTCCATGCTTCAACTAAAAGAAATACATGTTGCCTTTGATACATTCTGCCTAAGATCTAATACGCATAGATATTGTCATGCGCATTGCTATTGGACGCCCACCTCACAGGGATGTTATGAGCATTGAACCTTTAGCACATACAAAGCATTTTTATTTACCATTGTGTTGTATTCCATCTACTGAAAGAAGAAAAAACAGAAAGAAAAAAATACAAAGATAATACGTGAATATATACACATATATGTATATGTCATAGTCTGTTGGTTAACAAAATCTTTTGTTTTGCTCATGCTACCACCAAATCTATGCATCATTTGGAAATAATATCTTGGAGCCAGAAATGTCACTTAATTACTATGAAAAATCAGTGTTTTTATTAGAATCCAAAACAGCATGATGAGATTGTTTTGGACTTGCATAACTTTAAGGTGATAACCCACAGCCAGTGAATCTATATCCCATGGTTCTTCAAAATGATTTATGGCTATTTGGAGAAAAGGAACAAAGATAGACAGTAGTTTTAGCTTTGGATGCTTCTTTCTTTAAAGGACTTATTTCTATTTAAAGGTCATAAATTATAATCCAGCTCTATTCTCACCTTTTGGGGGGGGGTTGGGGGAGTCAGTACTGGTTATTTGAAATGCAATATCATGATGTTAATTGGAGTGTTAGACATGAAATCAGGAAAGCTTGTCTTCAAATCATACTTCTGGTGCTTATCTAAGCCTCTGTTTCCTCATTATCAAAATGGTGAAAATAATATTTACAGTGCTTTTCTCATAAAGTTGTGGTAAGGTCAAGTGAAATAAATACATAAGTGCTTCACATACTTTAAAGTGTCACCAAAATGCCATATATTATTATTATGAAGTGCTGACCATCTTTCCACATTCCAAATCACACAGCAAATCCAGTTTTTCATTGGAGTTATTATTATCAACAATAATTAAGTAGATTCATTAATGAAAACTCATTGAGGCTTTTGACAGAATACTTGGCCCATAGCAATTATAAGCTATCCTTAGACCAGATGAGGTTTAGAGTTTAGCCAAGAGCTATGCTGAGGGAGATTATTTCCTTGAATGGGTGATATCCTCTTGATTCCCTTTTAGTGATGCATAGAATTTACTTTTATATTTTCAAAAATAAATATGCAAGAGAACAATGGGTTCCAGATGAAATTCACAGTATCTCTCTCTCTCTCTCTCTCTCTCTCTCTCTCTCTCTCTCTCTCTCTCTCTCTCTCTCTCTCTCTCATAGAATCTGGCCACAAGAAGTTGAAAAGCACTATACAGAGAAGCACAGAAACCGGCATGGCAGCAGAAATGAGGAAGATGGTACGGCAGCCAAGTCGAGAGTCTACTGATGGCAGCATTAATAGTTACAGCTCAGAAGGGAAGTAAGTAGTTTGAGAAGACTCTTTATTCATTTAAATGCTTACCACTGGGGTCATTATTAAGGTCAGACAGCCATAAGTATACATGGCATGTTTTTTTAGCCTATAGCATTAACTATTACATTGCCCCATTTGATGGTAAGTACGATATTTGGGATACATAAAATTTTTCAAAGAATCAAATGCTGACAGAATATAAGTCACCTTCCATCCCACCTATATGTCTAACACATAGGGATTCAAAGATAATGTTTTTACTGAATGTGATTTGGTAGAGGTTAAACATCATCTAATAAGTACCCTTATTAGATCACAGATCCTAGAGCTAGAACATATGTGAAGATCCCTGTATCTAGTCCAACCCCATCATTTTACAGATGAGGAAACTTAAGTCCAGGAAATTCAATTGATTAACCTAAGGTCAGAAATGTAGTGAGAAGCAAATAAGGCAAGGAACTTAGTTTGGTCCTTTTTCCAGTACCTAAAGCGTGAGAGAGAGAGAGAGAGAGAGAGAGAGAGAGAGAGAGAGAAAGCATGTGTGTGTGTGTGTGTGTGTGTGTGTGTGTGTGTGTGTGTGTGTGTGTGTAAAACCCTCTTTCCTCTTTCCCTTGGCTCCTTCTTCCTATAATTCCAGAACTTGGGGTGTCGGCAGTTTGCTGCCAGAGGCAGCTTCAGTTTCAATTACTTGGAGCCTCATTCCTTCTCTCTGAGAAATAAAAGATAAAATTTCTCTAAATTTTATATGTCTTTCATACTATACACTTGTGGGGGTTCATCATGAGGGACAAACAAAAGCCTGCTCATGTAGTCCTTTTCCTCCCAATCTCCACATCTATCCATTCATCCCACAATTCTAAAATTGCTTGTTCCTAGGATATGATGTCTACTTTAAAATGAGATTTTTTTCCTGAGAACCAGAAGCTTAACCCAAAGTGATTGTTCTAACTCATTTAGTAGCATGGGGATTCATCATATATAACTAGTTATAATTGTTCATTTATCAGCATTCATAACATTAGTAACAATTTAATGACATCTTCAGAAAAGAAAATGTAAATGAAATACGCTTAAGCTTTCACTTACAAGCAATGTTTATTGAATAAGAGGGAGAATAATGTATAGAATAGTGTGATATATATTAAATATGTCTGGGAAGAAATAGGAATTTTGAGTTCAAATCTCTTTCATTAAAAAGCATTTCTGAAAATATGTTTATGTTTTAAAATAGATATTAAATATTTTGTATTTGTGATGGCAATAATAACTCATATGTCTATAACACTTTAGGGTTAATAAGGCTCTTTCCTCACCACAGTTCTGTGAGGCAGATGGTATCTTATTATTCCCATCTGTAATGTGGGGAAACTAAACCACAGAGAGGTTATACAATTTACCCTCAGTAACACAGCTACTAAGTGTCAGATCTAAGCTTCATCAAATATATAGGTAGAGAGATTGATAAATAAATAAATGAGTAAATGAATGATTGAATAAGCTGATGATCCAAATGATAACCTTGTGCTGATTTTTCAAGAGTAATTTGTGCCTTGATATTGAAAGGCAGTGTGACATACAGTCTAGAGAACTTTTCATAGTACCATCAAATCAATATGATAAACACTTATTAAGCCATCTGCCATGTGTGAAGCACTGTGCTAAGCAGTGGAGAAACAAAAAGAGGCAAAAGACAGACTCTGCCCTCAAGTAGCTCCCAATTTAATGTCATCAGTGCTTGGCATAAATGCCCATACATAACAGGCATTGAATAAATTCTTGCTGAGGCGTTGATTGATTGAATGAGATCAAACCTTGGAGTCAGGAAGACCTTGGTTCAAGTAATGCTTTGGACTTACACTGGCCGTGTGACCTGTCAAGTCACATGGTCTCTCTGTGACCCAAGCAGCTTTCTGAAACTACTAATTACAAATCAGATTCTGACCTGAATTGATAGAGGGAAATTCTCCCAATGAAATCACAAACCCATTTAAAAAAAAAAACCTCAATATTATTTGGTTTACATTTCCATGCACCCTTTTTAAAATAAAATAAGAATGCTTGTGTTTGATGTTAAAAAAAATAGTTGTCAATATCATTATATTTGTAGATATAACTATATAACAGAATGACAAAACTCACAAAGTACTAGAGATGAATGGGAATTCAGTCCATCCCATACCTGGTTGAGAATGCTCTCCACAGCATCCCCAGAAAGTGGACATCCAGGGCAGCTAGGTGGCGCAGCCAATAGAGTACTGGCCCTGAACTCAGGAGAATCTGAGTTCAAATCCGGCCTCGGACATAAAACTTACTAGCTGTGTGACCCTGAGCAACTTACTTAACCCCAATTGCCTAAAAAAAAAAAAAGAAAAGAAAAGAAAAAGAAAGAAAGAAAAAAAGAACTTTTGGATAGCTCTAATTATTTGTAAGTCTATCCTGATATCAAGCCTAAATTTTGCTCTTTAGGAATTCTAAGCATTGTTCCTAATTCTGCCTTCTCAAGCAAAAGAGAATTGATCTTCCATTTGACAACTCCCTAAGTACTTTTAAAAAGCAACTAGGTTTCCCTGTTTTCTCCAAGGACCCAATCCAACCGTCCCAGGAGCCTTGACCATGCCTCATGTCTGACTAGTATGGGTTTATCCCTCTGTGACACAACCTGATGCTTCAAGAAGTTCACCATATTGATGCCAATCTTAGTATGGACTTCTGATCAGGTTAGCCCACTGCAGCTCAGAATTCCCAGCTCAAAAGATCCACCACTCTTAGCTTCCCCAGTAGCTGGGATCACAAGCATGTGCCATTATGCCTGACATAGCCTTTCAAATATTTGAAAACAGCTGCCATCTCAGGAAACTACATGAAAAATCATTGTGAGGAGGTATGTAGACAAGAAGGACAGTTAAGGAACTATTGTGTTAAGTTTAATATATGTTTTAATAAATTACATATAAGAGAAGTTCAGTGTATATGTTCTAATAAAGCTAGTTATTTTATTTTACTTTGTTTTTATTTTAAAAAATTTTCACCATCCTTGCAGCCTAATATTTCCCGGGGTCCGATTGGGAGCTGACAGTCAATTCAGTGATTTCCTTGATGGATTAGGACCAGCTCAGCTTGTTGGAAGACAAACACTAGCAACTCCTGCTATGGGTAAGAGTAAACCCTGGGATCACTACTGTTTCATTTGTGTATATATCAGTGAAAATCACATAAAAGGGAAATATCTTCAAGAGTGGTATGAAGTAAATGCAGTGACCATGGATTTTGCATATTCCAGTACTAGTTGGGATTGTTGAGTCCAGAAATAGTATTTTCTCTTGGAGCTGTCAAAATCTCCATCAAGAAAAGTACTTGATTACTGAGGTCAGGGCTCTCTCTAACCTTCTATCTAGATTCTATCCTCCATTTTTATTACTAAGGCAACAAAAAAGTTGCTATCACCTTCTAAAACCATGATTTAACCTTTAAAATGTGTGGCTGTATAATTCAATGATGAAAATTCTTATTAGTTTATGATCAAATCTGTATTAATCCCATGTGTATAATAGACTCAGCAAGCCACTGTTGGTCCTAGTCATTCTGGTCTGGATGCCAGTCCACAAAAATATTGTGTTGGGAAGGCAAAACAGTAGCTTATAGTGCCAGAGAGATGATAAACTAATTGTGTCAAAGTGAGCAGAATAATCAGACCTTCACACCTTTGAAATTTGCTTACAGGGGAAGGAAGAAAATCAAGTCTTTAAAAAAATCCTACCACCACCTTTGTGAGGCTGCTTCTCATGTCCTTCCCATCACTGCTTTGTATTCACGTGGGATCAATGAAGTATTGGTAACCCAATGGTTGATGAAGCGAGAATTCAAAAAGATCTTGAAGCAACATAACCAGATCAAATAAGATATGATTTATGAAGGACAAATGTAACATATTACATTTGGATCAAAAAATTTAATATCATTTTACAGATGAAGAACTAAATGCTCATCCACTATGCCACACAGTTGCCCTTATGAAGGACAAATGTGAAGTCTTACATTTGGATTTTAAAAAATTAAGATCACAAGTCAAAAATAAAAGAGCCATGGCTAGACAAGGGTAGATAGGTTAATGTAGTAGATAGAATGCTGGGCTTGAAGTCAGGAAGACTCATCTTCTTGAATTTGATTCTGGCCTCAGACACTTACTAGCTGTGTAACCCTAGGCAAATCATTTAATCCTATTTTCTTCAGTTTCCTCATCTGTAAAAGGACCTGGAGAAGGAAATGGCAAGCCACTCCAGTATCTTAGCCAAGAAAAATCAAAATGGGGTCATAAAGGATTGGATACAACTGAAATTTCTGAACAATTGCTAGACATTTGGAGAAGATCTGGGATTTGGGGAGATAGCAAGCTGAATATGAATCTATTGTATAAAATGAAAACCATGAAAGCTAACGCAGTCTTAGGCTACATTTTGAGAGATTTAGCTTCCAAGAAAAGTAAAGTGATATTCTGGCTGTATTTATCCTGATAAGAACACAATGATAATATTGTTCTGGGAGCCACATTTTAAGAAGAATGCTAATAAGCTGGAGAACTTCTAAGAAGCCAAGTAGGAACATAAAGGGTTTCAAGTCCGTAAAGTATGAGCATCAGTGGAACAAACTAGAGGCATTTAGCCTGGAGATTAGAAAATTTAGGGAGAAAGGTGAACAATTGACAACTGGCTTCAAGTATTTGCATGGCTGTCATCTACAAGAGAGATTTGTTCTGTTCCCAGAGAGCAGAACCAATGGGTAATCTCAGTGAGGTTAATTTAGGCTTAAAGTGAACAACAAAAAACAAACAAACAAAAAAAAAACCACTTCCCAATCATTGTAATGCATTACCCATCACTGAAGGTTTTCCACATAATCTAGAGGACCATTTATCAAGTATATAGAGGTCGCCTGTCAAGTATGTACAAAGGACCACTTGTTGATTATGTATAGTGAAGGAATACTTTTTCAATGAGTTAGATAAGATGATTACTGAGGTCCCTTCCAATTTGTAAGATCAGTTATTCTCCCAATGTTATAAGGTTGCTGATTCTTCATCATGCTCTCTACATTATTAATAACTTTTGGCACCATTTAAGTCTTTTAGTTCATTGAGTCTATTAAAAAAGAAGCATTCAATCCAGCAAATAAAACTAAGGTCAAACTAGGATAACAAGCAAAGTAAAAAGCAATCATAGTCCCAGTTGTATCCATCCCTCACAGCAAGTTCCAGCATTAGCAATCATTGTAGGGCGTACTAAACTATCTGCAAGAAAGTTATGCAGCTAGTTAGTCAGTCCCTTCTCTGTCTCAGTATTAGCCAGAACCCCATTTGATTTTACACCTATATAATTTTTGATGAGTCTCTCCAAAGTTTCCAGAATTACATGCTGCTCGTAAACATGACATCATTACCTTTGTACAATCTAAATCAAAGTAGAAATCAACCTAGGACAAATTAATGAAAGGATGAATTTTAAAATAGCATCATAGGACATTCTTATATAGATCAGATAGAAGAGGTTTTTAAAAAGAATAAAAGAGGCAACAACCATGTTATTTATCACTCTTTCCCCTTTCAGGTGACATACAGATTGGAATGGAGGATAAAAAGGGCCAATTAGAAGTAGAAGTCATCAGAGCAAGAAGCCTCACTCAAAAACCTGGTTCCAAATCTACACCTGGTAAGGAAAAGTCTTAATTCATTGAGACAAGTGAATACCGCTGTGCAATAAATGAAGATATTTGTTAAATTTAAAAATTAACATTCTGCTTGGAAGCAAATAAAATTTAATAATTATTAAATTTAGTAATTTAATAATTTCTTTTTTTGAAACAGGGCTGAAATCCACGTACATGATCAATGTTGCACCCATATATAAAGAAGGGTCTTGCCTTACAAAGCTTACTTTTCTACGTCCTTCAATCTGTTATGAATATGAAATTACATTGATATGTGTTTTTTTTAAACAGTGAAACAGATGGTAGTCTCAATAAATACTTAATCACTAAACAATCATATTCTTCAAAGGGCATTTGAGCTAATTCACTCGCATAATAATCTCTTTTCCTACAGCTCCATATGTTAAAGTCTATCTTTTGGAAAATGGAGCCTGCATAGCAAAGAAGAAAACAAGAATTGCCCGAAAAACCCTTGATCCTTTGTATCAACAGTCCCTGGTTTTTGATGAAAGTCCACAGGGTAAAGTTCTTCAGGTCAGTAATCATCTGATTTTTTAAATATATATATATTCAGAAGTAAAACAAGGGCTATAAGTGATCATTTCTACATTTCCCTTCTTGTCCCCCACCAAATATGGAGAAATGATAGATAGATAGATAGATAGATAGATAGATAGATAGATAGATAGATAGATAGATGAATAGATTACAGACAGTACATGTGTACCTAAATGTCATAAAGCAATATAACTGCTTAAATATATAATTGAATAAGACCTTGAAATGCCCAGAAATGAAATTGAGTTCATCAAAGATGGACCAACAGTCTACAAAAAGGAAAAAACAAAGGAAGGAGGGAAAGGATAATGAAGCCAGTTCATTACCAAGCCAATATGTAAAACTTTTCTAGCTTGATGGACAGCTAACTAAATAAAAATTTCTAGCACAGCACTCTGTGAGGAAGAATAATGAGGAATGATTGTTGTTGCTTCTGATGCTTATTACCCACATAACAATAGACAAATAACCCTACTAGGCTTCAGTTTTCTCATCTGTAAAAATGGGTGGGTTGAACTCAATAGCCTCTGAGATCTTTTTGAGTTCTAGATCTATGCCTCCCAACTGTCAATATGACATTTAAAACTAGAAGTGCCATAGGCACCTCAAACTCCAAAATAAAACATCTTTTATTTTCTCCAAACTCATCCCATTTCCTGAAATCCCTGTTTCTGTAAATAGCACCACCACCCTTCCAGTCACCTAGGTTTACAACATAGGAGTCATCCTCAATTCCTCAACCTTGATAGTCAGTCAGTTGCCAAAGCTTCTACCTCCAAAACAACATTTGTCAAATTGGTCTGCTTCTTTCCATCCCCTTTCTTCAGGGCCTCATCATTTGTTGCCTAGGTTATTGCAATAATCTCCTAATGACTCTCCCTGCCCTCAGTCTCTTTCCTCTTCAATTCAGTATGTACACAGGTGCCAACACAATATTTCTACTGTACAGGTCAGTCTCTTGTATGATACATTCTAGTGGCTTTGTACCTCCAGGATTAAATGCAAACTGCTCTGTTTGGTGCTGAGAATCCTTCACAACCTGGCACCAAACTATCCTTTTCAAGCCTTTTTATACTCTAAGCCCGTTTACCTACTCTACAATCCAAGCAAATGGGCATTTCGGTTCCTCATACATGGCACTCTACTCACTGTCTCCGTCCCTTTGGCTGGAATGTACACATTCCTTACCTAAGAATCTCTAGTTTCCTTCAAAATTCAGCTGAGACAAAATAAACGACATCTCCTACACGGTCTTTTCTAATGATCCCAGCTATGCCTTCCCCCCAAAATCACTTTGTTTTTATTATATATATATATATTACTACACACACACACACATATATGTATAGACATATGTATGTATATATATACATGCAGAAGGTATATTATCTTTATGTGAATAAAGGGATTATTGCATTTATGTCTTAGTATTCTCAGTTTCCTATCACAGTGTCTGGTACGTTGTCATGGTTTAATGAATGTATAATGACTAATTGATTGATTTGGGGTAAAAAAGAAGAGTTGTTAGAACCAATGGGTAAAAGTTTCATAAAGGTTGTGCCAGTTGTGTGCCCAGCAAAAGTCAGTTACATCTTTGAAGCTCTACTTCCTCATCTGTAATGTGGGGGTGAAAGAAAGTGGTTTATAAACTATAACATGCTGTATAAAGATGAATTGTTATTATAAAGAGCTTTCTAGGAATTAAGGCTGTCCAAAAATGCAGTGGACTATCATCTCATGAGAAAAAGAGTAACCTACTCCTTTAAATTTTCCAATCAGCCAAACAAATACTCATCCAAAATCTCATAAAGAGGATTTGTCCACCAGGAAGGAATTTAGATGGATTGATCTGTGAGACCCACTCTAATTCCAATACCTATCAGTCTATGAAAATGAACAATCAGATCACTGATATTTCAGTATTAATCCATTATTGAGTCAGGTAGGTAACACAGTAGATAGAGCTTCCTGGAATCAGGAGAGTCTGAGTTTAAATTCAGACACTTACTAGCTATGTTACTTGGAAAATCCACTAACCTCAGACTGCCTCCATTCCCTCATCTGAAAATGGGGCCAGAAACAGCCCCTATCACCTAGGTACTAGTAGGAAGATAAAATGAGATAATATTTTCAAAGTGCATTGAAAATAATGAGGCACCATATAAATGCTAGCTACTGTTGTTGTCATTCAGCTCTATGTGGCAGGTAGATGGTGCAGTGGGCCACTAGATGGTACAGTAGATAGAGAATTGGCCCTGGAGTAAGGAGAAACTGAGTTCAAATCTGGCCTCAGACATTCAGTAGCTGTGTGACCCTGGGCAGGTTACTTAACCCTGTTTGTCTCATTTCTTTATCTGAAAAATAGAGAAGGCCATGGCAAACCACTCCAGTATCTTTGCCTAGAAAATCCCACACGGGGTCACAAAGAGTTGGACCCAACTGAAACTACTGAACAACAATAACAACAGATGATGCAGTAGAGGGGGCACTGGGCCTAGAGTCTTCCTGAAATTAAATCCTACTTCAACCAGTTAACTAGTTATATGATGCTGAGCAAGTCATTTAATCTCTTTTGATCTCAGTTTCCTTATCTGTAAAATGGGGATAGTAATCAATACCTGCATCACAGGGTTGTGGGGAGGAACAAATGAGATTACATATGTAATGGGTTATGCAAAACTTAAGGCTATATAAATGTTAGCTATTATTATCATTCAAGTAATTTGGATTTGTTCAGATACGTCTTACAGTTTTATCAGTTTAAAAACATTTTATCAATTTGTTCCTTCCCTTAGAAAAATTATGTCAAGGAAATAAGTATTCTTTTTTTTTAATTGACCTTGGAAAATCCCTAAATGAATAAGAAAGTGGCCATTTACATGTTAGACTTTCTAGAACTCCCTTGAGCACCTTTTTCAGTCTTTGATAGTCTTTTCTCTGCCATCCATACCGGCTCTCCTTCAACTTACTTTCCAACTCAAAAGCATGAAAAGAGGTGGCATTTTACATTATATTAATTCTGTGCTTTGTGCATGATTTTATCTCTCTGCAGGTGATCGTCTGGGGGGATTATGGGCGAATGGATCATAAGTGTTTCATGGGTGTAGCTCAGATCCTTCTGGAGGAACTTGATCTGTCTAGCATGGTAATAGGATGGTACAAATTGTTCCCGCCTTCATCACTGGTGGACCCAACCCTGGCGCCCTTGACTCGCAGGGCTTCCCAATCATCTCTGGAAAGTTCAACTGGGCCTCCTTGCATTCGATCATAATGAACTTGTAGAGAACAGATCCTAGTTAAGTAAAATGCTATCAATCCAGGATAATAACCCGAACTAGATATTATGTGATCAAAACATTGTTGGAGACAGACAATCAACTTCTGTTTTACCTGTAATAGTTATCCAAAAAATGTGTCTGAATTGTTTGTTTAAACCTGGCTTCAAAGGACAGATGAAGGGCATCTATCAAATTACAATAAAAAAAAAGTCAATTCGCTAGTGAGAGTTACTGACGCTTCTAACTGTTAACAAAAAAAAAAAAAAGGAGGGGGATTTAAAATTCACACACACATGCACACACACACACACACACCACACAAAAACACACAATTGAACAAACTGGAAGCCCTTACTCTGTGGAAAAGCTTGTGTTATACACGTTCTCACATTCTTACTCAGACTACAAGCAGTGTTATTTCCCCTGGTGTTTGAGCAGTGTTTTCTGTACTTGTTACTTCCTCTAGTTTTTGGCTGTGTGACCCTCTCTTCAACCATGTTGTGACAGTCCTCACCATACTAATAGAGACCCTTCCCTTCTTTTTTTCCCAGATCACCAATAAAGGGCTACAGAATCTCTCTGTAAGCACCACCCCAAAGTGTGCAACATCCAGGCAAAGTGATACCAATCAACTGTCTCATGTTCCCACCTTTACCCTCCCCACCCCTCCAGTATCAGCTCTTCAAAGTCTTATGTGTAGAAACCCAAAGCAAACCAAGAGGCCAGAAAGTTTCCCTCCCAACATAAGTACCACTGTTCTTTTTGCATTCTGGACAAACTATAAAAATTTTTTTTAAAAAGTCTGTTTTGCATGAAAGACTCCTCTCTGCAGCCAAGGCTGGGGACTGCAACAACTTAATCTTAGTTTCTGACATTGAAACCACTCCTTGTTAATAGTTCTCTTTCAAATGTCCAAGAGAGAATAATCACATTCATGTATAGGAAATATATGTTTGATGTCCCACAATGTTGACCAGAAATGGAATTAAGCATATGACACTTTCAGCTATACCCAGGCTTCTCTGCTGTGTCTCCCTTCAGACACACCTGTCCACCCTGGATAGAGCATGGTAGGGGCTGCTCAATATTCCACTGGGAATTCCAGTTGAAATATTCTGCACTTAACTAATGTTTTTATCCAATTTTAGTTTACATTTCTTTGAGATTGATGCAAGCACAAAGCTTGATTTTTTAACACAAAATATCTTACTTTTTTGAGGAAAAAAAATGTCCAATTTCAATTTGCATTTTCTTCATTTTTTTCTTGGCCTTGACGTTCCCTTGTGATGTGCTACCAACTGCAGACCGTGCAGGTGCATTGATAGGTTTTTCCTTCCTTTTATGGGCCATTCAATTTTGTGATCACACAGATAGAGCAGCATGACTTGGAACTCTTCAAAGCTGCATGCATGTTTTGTTAAAAAAAAAGTAAAGAAACAAAAAGGTAATTTAATAATGTATGTTAGCTCCACGTAGGCTGGCTTGTATGTTGCATGTACTTGTACAGTTTGCTTGTTAATTACTATACTGAAATAACCAAGAAATCTAAGCCATCCATTTTTGTTATAGACATTTGACAGGTTTTAGCCAGACTCAGTCAGTTAGTCTGGTGCAAAAAATGTCTATAGATGGACTTTATTTTTTACCCTATGGAAAACGTGATGTAGTTTGGACCAAACCTTCTTATAAATTATTTTGGTGTAGATTCCTACTGTGGGGCTGTAACACATGTAGAAATTGTGTGCACACTAGGTTTTAATCCATTAGACATACTGCCTGCACCGAGTGAATTATTAATTATTATTTAACATGTCAGACTTCTCTGCCCACCATTCCATCGGGCACAGATCGACTAATGCTCGACCTGCTGAGCGAGAAAAGCTGAAGCATTGGTGCACTATTACTAGAGTCCGTTCTGTCTTAGTGGCCAAGAATTGACTAAGTACAATTGGGTAGTATCTTTCTATTTTGACCACTTGTCTTAACACTCCCCTGTGCTTTTAAATGAACTTCCAACTCATGTTATGTAAACATGTTTAATAAAATTTACTTTTCACGTCAGTTGGTAGCCATCTGTGTTCTATGTTTTGCCAGATTGCCATTGCAGGTCCTGTGGTGGAGAACAGGAGCCGGATCATGGGAAAGAGAGAGACTGGGCTTTGTTCTCTGTTCTTGATGTTTAACTTGACTTGTCACTGCACTAAATATGTCTTAAAGAATGGCCCAAAGGGTACATCGCCTCACGTACAAGTTTTCACTTTGTCAGCCTGTCTAAGTGAGCACATGAGTACACTTCTGAAAAGTGGCATTATTCAAAACAATAAATCTCAGTAAGAAACAATGGAAGGTTGTTTTTCTACTGCTGTTTGAGTGTGCTAATAATAAAAGAGATGACCCAGTTGTCCAATTGCCAAAGAATTTCAAGTTATATGAAAAGTCATAATATTGAATCTTGTGGATATAAGGCACTGAATATTGAAATCTGGGGGCTGTCTTCAAAGCATCTGGTTCTCTTTCCATCCTGTCCTGAAACAATGACAGATTTTACAACACATCTTGTGTAGAGAAAGCAGGCATATCAAAAGTAGGGGGTGTTTGTTTGCCAAACCATTTTCAACAGAATATTAGGGAATAAATGTGTATACAAACATAGGTGATTGCATGATCATCCTTTAAGTATAATGTATGTAGAGTACAACTGACTACTCATGGTACAATGGAAAGTTCACTGCCTTTGAAGTCAGAGTACTTGAGTACAATCTGACCTCATAACCTTGGGCAATTCAAAATTTTTGGTCTCAGTTTTGTCATTTATGTGAAGAGCAAAACACATAATCTATAGGAAGCCCTTAACAAATGCTTGTTGACTGACTGACAGAAGGGATACAAGCATAAGGCCTTTGCGACCCCTTCTAGTTCCAAATCCATGATCCTATGAACAACAAGAACAACACAGATTTAAATGCCTACTGTGTGCAAGATGCTGACTGTATGAACAAGATGAAGAGCAACACTATCTTTCATTTGCATTTTGGAAAAATAAATTAGAAGTCGACATTTTGCAGAAATGAAATGTTCTCTAAGCCAAAAACAGAACAAAACAAAATGAAACAAAAGCAAAGAAATAAAGCATTTCCTTCCCTCTCAGAATGACTGCTCCAGAGCTGGAAGTCCAAACTTTTAATATTATACATGAGGAACCTGAGACACAGGGAGCTTAAATGACAGTCTCCAGGTCACACAGGAACAAAAGTCAGAAGTGGGATTTGAACTTAGGTCCTTGGACTTCCCTAGTCACTACTATTTCTCCTATGTACAACACTGCCTCCTTCAGGAAATGTGCTTTCTACTTTTTTAATATAGCTTTCTTCACCAAAGTAATGCTGTCTACCTGCACATACATATATATACAAATCACCAGTGTTTTTATACCTATCACTAGTATAACTGAAAAGCCTACATGGAGCACTAATTCTATATGATGTATATCATGCTGTAAACAGCAACAATGACAAAAACCCACCTATGATCACAACTGGCTAGCTTATGAGAAATAAGCATTTGATAGAAGAATATCCAATTAAAAAAAAAAGAATAAACAATAGAAAGTAAAATATCAAAGGCCAAGATTCTCTATCACCAAAAGAGTCAATTGGCTGAATTGCTCATTTTTTCAATTACCCAATTTTGTTATATTTTATTTGGTTTTCTGTGTAACACTGAGCTGAGGACCAAGTACTCCACTAAAATGGGATGAAGCTATTAGAAATTCCATTTTGGGGCAGAACATGGCAGAGCCAGTGAATAGTTTATCTATCTGTCTGTCTGTCTTTCTACAGTACTTTGTAAACCTCAATGGTATCTGTTTTATGTATATATACATATATATATATATATATATATATATGTATATATATATATATACATATATATATATACATATATATATACACACACATATATATACATATACATATGCATATATGTATATACACATATGTGTATATACATAATATATATATGTATATATGCATGTGTGTGCATGTATACACACATAATCTAAGGTTATATATATATAATGGCATATATAATACTTATTATAATACTTGTATAATACATAATACAATTATGTGTGTGTGTATATACACATACCATTAAGGTTGACAAAGTGCTTTATGTATATTATTTGATTTGGTAGTTACAATAACCTTTCAGGGTAGCTGCCTTTCCCATGTATAAGGAAACTGTGGTTGAAAAAAAGTAAATAACTTGCCCAGGATCATACAACGGGTAAATATCTGAGGTAAGATTTAAACTCCTGACTCTAAGCCCATCAACATATCTACCAAACCTCCTAGCTTCCAGGACAATTAAAAAAAAATTATTTTAGCTTCCATTTGCCTCTCCTGGCACTAAAGATCTAGTAAATTTCTGGGGGTTTTTTATTCTGTTTTCTTGTCCTATACCTTGTAATTTCATCAGGGTTGGGTGCTCCCAGGGATAAACTCCACCAATATAGTTATTTCTGTCATGTAGAGTCTTAGAGTTGCCCAAGAGGTTAAGTGATTTGCCCATAATCTCATAGACAGTATCGGACAGAAGCAAATGTGGACCCAAGTCTTCTTAATGCCATGGCCAACATTCTTTCCACAACAGCATAAAGTCTCTCCCTTCTTCTTCTGATTATTTCCAGCTGCTAATAGTGGGTAATTGGATAATTCACTGAGGACATAATTAAATTAATTTTTAAGCGTTTAATTGACAAATTTATCAGGAACTTTTTTTTTTTTGGGGGGAAGGTTTGGAAGCCTTTGCCATAGCTGACTTTGTTTAATTTCCTGCAGTAGAATAAACAGACTTAAGCTCAGGAAAATAAGAAACAAAATATTTGTAGAAGTTTCTGGCAACAGTTTCCTCATCTGTAAAATGGGAGTTGGACTTGATGACATCTGAAGTCTCTTCCAGTTCTAGATCTATGAACAAGTCACAGAAGTCATATCCATCATTTGGGAGGGGCAGCAGCTAGACCAATATAAATTCCTTTTTATGGTGAATTTTGCATTAGATCCTGGAAGAAATGGTATCTGCTCTACATTTCACTTGACTTAATAGATTTGCATCAGTACATTGGAGATGACACTTAGTTGGTCAATTATAGATCCAGCGTTCAAATTCCAGTGGTGTGTGACCTCGGACAATAAAAGTGTGATGAAAGAACACCCAAATTAAAAAAAAAAAGAGTAAGCTAATAGAAAGTAAAATACCAAAGCCCAAGAATCTAAATCAGCAAAAGAGTCAATTGACTGAATTATTCACCCCACCTGGGTGGGGCCTCAGTTTCCCTCTCTAAAAATACAAAACAAACAAACCCAAAGAGAGACAGACTAGATGATATCTACTAACTTCTGGCACTAAATCTTTAATCCTGTGACATTTAAAATAAAGACATAGAACTAAGTGACCAGTGAAGTTCCTTCCACCTCCAGATCTAATCTCTTCAGGAATCAAGAAACAAAGATGACTTACGTATGAGTGTGAAGAAATGAACTCTCAAAGCAGGCCTGCAATAGACAGCTCCACTCCCAATCCTTTTCTGACGACCAATCAGTTAAAATAGCTTTAAATACCACAGAAAGGCAACCTGGTGTAATGGATAGAGAGCTGGGCTCTGAACCAGAAAGACCTGGATTTAAGCCTGCCTCTGACATACATGAGCTGTTGGACCCTGGCCAAGTCACTTATCTTCCTCTAAGCAAGTCGATAAATTGCAGAGAAGGTCCACAAAGTGATTTCCTCACTTGGGAGAACCCTATACCAATAAAATCACAGGTGCAGCCCTTATCCCTAGCCTAACATCTTTCAGACACTGAAGATAAACAGACAAAATGGAAAAAGTTCCTACCCTCAAGAAGCACACATTTTCACTAGGAAGACAATACCTACATATATAACTTAGCTTTGGAGCATGCACAGATCCCCTAAGATAGAGGCACTCATATGGGAGACAGGAAGGTCCTGCTTTTAGAAGACACCAGAAGTAGGTCTCTGCTTTCACATGGGTGCCTCCATCTTAGTTGATCCAGACATGGAGCAAAACCAGGTTGAATTCTTCCCCTCTGTTTGAAATATTTGCCATCCCCAAGAAATGGGTAGAACACATTTTGAGTGTAATCCCTATCCCTCAATTCAGAATGGTGCTCTGGATTAGCTTCTCCAGTTCCATACAGGAAAGGTAGGGGCCCACAGGATATCTTCCCCCAGAAGCAGGTTCCTGAGGTGTCCTACATGGAGGTCTCCATCTCAAAGGGAGAGCTCAGAACAAACATTAACCTATTAATATTAATACTTTTTATACTAATATATAATAATTTTATACTAATTAATAAAAGAAAAAATTAATATTAATTAACCTAATAAAATAACCCAACCTAGGGGTTGAGAAGAAATAAAAGAAGTGTTAGGAAATTTTAATAAATAAATATGATTTCTAAGTATCATGGGAAAACTACTTTGTGAAGCATTTCCTTGAACTTGTTAACCTCTAACATCAAAAAGTTGTCATTTTATACGATTTTTATTTCTAAAAGAGACCTTAGCTTCTGGACATAGGCTCCTGTACAATTGTACAATAAATAAATGGGTAGGGATAAATATACATATAAGGAGAGAGAGAGATGAGAGACAGAGACAGAGACAGAGAGACAGAGAGAGAAGCAAATGGATGCTAGTTATAGATCACTCAATTAGACAATAAGCATTTATTAAGTGCCTTCTATTTCCCAGTCACTGTACTAAGCTCTGAAAATACAAAAAAAAAAAAAGGCAAAACATAGGCCCTGGCCTCAAAGAGCTCTCAATCCAATGAGGGGAAAAATTAATAATTAAATACAAAGAAGCTATTTAAGGGATAAATTTGATATAATTAACAGAGGGAAGATTAAGAGGAGCTTGGAAAGGCTTTCTGAGAAGGTGACATTTTAGTTGGGACTTGAAGGAAGCCAAGAGGGCTTGAATTTGGAGCCAGAAAACATAAGTTCAAATATCTACTCTTCTAATTTATT